AGAAAATTTGGCACATGCTGGCCACATCAGATATCACATTGATTTTTAAGTATAAGCTTTCATAAAATATATCGATTGACATAGTTTAACAATTCTGCTATGAAAACAATTACTTACCTGAAATTGATTGCTAAAACGTCTGCATCCTTCCTCAAATAGGACAAGAAGGACATTGAAGGCGTCTTGAACATAAATACCAACATTTATTGTACAAATTTCACTGGTATCAAATAAAATGATGAAACATTTATGACCATTTCATTGCTTTCAGGGCAGCATCTTTAGAGGGAAGGTATCACGGTGTATTTATATACAATCTGAAAAGTCAAGCCCCACCCACCCCACTCGTTTCATAGAATGTGAAATCTTATAATTTGCTGAATATTTACTTAGAACTATTTATTTGTGTTTTAAACATTTTTATTGAGTCGTCTCTGACATAGGAATCGTGGAAATACGAGTTGGAGCTGTATCTATAGTACAATTGTGTGAATAGAAATACAAGAAAAATATTGTACAATACTAGTATTCAGTCTTCAATGGTTTGGTCGGTGTCTATGAGTCGCAGATTCCCTCACGTTTTTATTGTGCTTACCCAATTTCCTTTTCTTTTTTGCAATGTGACGTTCTATTTTTTTCAACCCCGTTAACAAAAACACTGAAAGGTGAATGTACTGGTCAAGTTTCGTCCAACAGCTGTAAATAATATACCTGTAGGACCCTTGTTGGTTACAGAATGTTGATTATCTGTAATTAGCGAAACGAACCGTTACTAATTAAAGACCCAATATTTTCGGCATATGTTTTATGTCGTTATATATACTATTGAAAGGTGAATATACTGGTCATGTTTCGTCGGACAGTTGTGAATATTGTACGTGTAAGACTCTTGTTTCGCTGATTACAGATTTCTGATTATCTGTATTTAGCGGACGACCATTTACTGATTAAAGTTTTCTTGTACTCAAAGGCCGGTGGCCTATGTACTTGAATAAACTTATTATTTTGTTAGTTTCAGAATCTTATTTTAAGGAATTTCAGTGGAATGTTCATATGGCCATTTTCAAGGAAGCACAATGGAATGTTAATGTGGCCATTTTCAAGGAATCACAGTGGAATGTTCATATGGCCATTTTCTAGAAAGCACAGGGGAATGTTCATATTGCCATTTTCAAGGAATCACAGTGGAATGTTCATATTGCCATTTTCAAGGAATCACAGTGGAATGTTCATATGGCCATTTTCAAGGAATCTCAGCGGAATGTTCATATGGCCATTTTCAAGGAAGCACAATGGAATGTTAATGTGGCCATTTTCAAGGAAGCACAGGGGAATGTTCATATGATCATTTTTAAAAAAGAAGTCTGAGGAATTTTGATGTGGCCATTTTCAAGGAATCTCAGGGAATGTCCATATTGCCATTTTCTAGAAAGCACAGTGGAATGTTCATATGACCATTTTCAAGGATCACAGTGGAATGTTAATGTGGCCATTTTCAAGGAGCACAGTGGATGTCCATATGG